TTTTTTGAGAGAGAGAGTGTGAGAGCAGGGGAGGGGCAGAGGGAGAGGTAGAGAGAGAGAATCCCAAGCAGGTTCCACACCCAGCACCAGTCCCACAACCATAAGATCAAGACCTGAGCCAAAATGAAGAGTTGGACTCAACCAACTGAGCCACCCAGGTGCCCCCACATGCTCTTTAGTGTACCACAATACTTCCCAAATCTTTTCTTCTTCCTAAAATGTAACACTTTAATGTTACTAGAACTCCATTTGATGAATATTTTTGTCTTTGTTATAAGATAGCAGCTTTCTACTTTTATGTCCACATTTTTCATATTTTGTATATGCTAATAAAATTACTTAAAAAAAACTTATTCTATAATCAGCCTAAGTGTTATAAAAATTCATGGCAATGTTTCCCAACTTATCTATTATTGACTACTGATTTTTAAAATGTCAGAAGTTCGGGGGTACCTGGGTGGCTCAGTTGGTTAAGTGTTTGACCTCGGCTCAGGACACGATCTCACAGTCCATGAGTTCAAGCTCCATGTAGGGCTCTGTGGTGACAGCTCAGAGCCTGGAGCCTGTTTTGGTTTCTGTGTCTCCCTCTCTCTCTGCCCTTCCTCCCCCTCAAAATAATAAACATGAAAAAAAATTTTAAATGTCAGAAGTTCATAAAGGTATGCTAAAAATAAATATTTTCTAATATCATATGCAGTTTAAGCCATTAAATCTTGCACATGGAAGGAAAAACCTGAAATAATGGACAGAATTCTAGTTCCAGTACACATGTAAGGGTTGATGTTTTCTGAATTACATCATTTTAACAGTTCCAGTGATTTAAAAAGCCAGACATGACTAAGATGGCCATATAAAATTCATATTCTTATCACTTCCAATATAGGTTAGGCAAACAGGTTCTTACACTTTAACCTTTGAAGATTATTCAAGCATATAATTTCAATGTTATGGATTTGAATTTGATTTCCCAGGATATTTATGCTTTCAAACATCCTGGGAAATAACTTAAATCCAAAAGGAAAACACCAAGGAAGCATCTGTAGGGTTTGCCAAAACTCTGAAAAAAAACTGGGACTTTTTTCTAGAGTTTTAACAGCTAAGGAAAACCTAGCCCCCTAGTGGCAGGAAAACCCTCAGTCAGGAGCTGCAGTATTTACCCTTCAGGGTACCATAAAATAGTGTTTTCATTACAAATAAAACAACAAAAGGTATTAGGTTTACTTTGCTAATACTGCTCTGATTCCATTGCTTACATATTTTGAATAGTTGTTAAAGTGTACATTAAAATAAATCTCTTGGGGGCTCCTGGGTGGCTGAGTCAGTTAAGTGTCTGACTTCAGCTCAGGTCCTGATCTCTGGTTTGTGAGTTCAAGCCCCTCCTCAGGCTGTCTGCTGTCAGCACAGAGCCTGCTTCAGATCCTCTGTCTCCCTGTCTCTCTGTCCTTCCCCTGAATGCATACATGCTCTCCCTCTCAAAATTAAAAACATTAAAAATAAAATAATAAGGAGCACCTGGGTGGCTCAGTTGGTTGAGTGTCCAACTTCAGCTCAAGTAATGATCTCATAGTTCATGAGTTCAAGCCCCACATCTGAGCAGACAGCTCAGAGCCTGGAGCCTGCTTCGAGTTCTGTGTCTCCCTCTCTCTCTGCCCCTCCCCACTCACACTCTGTGTCTCTCTCTCAAAAATGAATAAACATTAAAAATAATAATAGTAAAATTTATTGGATAAACAAAGTAAAATAAACAATAGAGAATATATTAGTATATAGTTGATAGCTGATTTATTATCTAAGGAAACAGCAAAATGGATACTATCCTTTTAAGTGTCCAGTAACAAATGGAAAGTAGAAAGTTACCTGCATGAAGAAAAGGGGAACATGAATAGATAATCCAAAAAGATTCCTCAATGGCTATTTCCTTACCAGTGCAACCCCATTTTGTATAATCAACAAAATAGAACAAAGTAAGATACTAGTTAGCTTACAGAATATGAAAAACTTAGCTATAGAACAGCAACTGTTGCTTAGTACATGAAAAATTAACCTAGTGTGTATTATGAAAGCATTGTGAAGGCACTGACATTTATAAAACTGAATTTATCACTATGTCCTAAGGTACATTCATCTGCATAAAGAACTTCCACTATCTTCCTGAAGGCATTGTTCACTTAAGGTATTAAATTGCATGTAGAATATAAACTGGAAATAATGGACAGAATTCTATTTCAGGGGCGCCTGGGTGGCTCAGTTGGTTAAGCTTCCCACTCACGATCTCATGGTTCATGAGATTGAGCCCCACGTCAGGTTCCTTACTTCCAATGCAGAGCCTACTTAGGATTCTCTCTCTCTCTCTCCCAAAATAAATAATAAAACTTAAAAAAAAAAAGAATTCTATTTCAGATATAAATATAATAGTTAATGACATTTTTAAAAGAATTCTGGTAATTAGAAAAATTCAGGATTACTAAAAATTATCCAAAAGTAAAAATTTTCACTCCTACTACAGGTAAGGAAAACAAGTTCATACTTGTTTATCCTATGGAAGTTATTCAAATATATAATTAAAATGTTTTGGACTTGAATCTACTCCAGAATAGTAGTGTTAGCAGTGAGAAAATTCTCAATATAAATGCTCAGCAGGAAAAACATCCTAATAGTAAATTTAGTTTCAAGATAAGTTACTATACATGTCTAGAACCCCAACACTTCCTCATTTGTAGTAAGGTAAAGGTCTTCTGGGAATAT